AAGTGAATTCGAAATGGGTTTTTATGTATGTATTAATTTAATACGTGCTCATTTATATTTAAGTAGTGTTTTTTGAATTTAAAATTATATTTTAATTAAATGATAGTTATTTGTGAATTTTATGTTTGTAGGAATTTGTATACGTTTAAGTTTGAAGTAAACGTGCATGGAAATAATTTAAATATTTGATACTAAGTATTTGTAATGCTTGCGGTATGAATTCGTTGGTGACGTGTATAATGTAATAGATGATTTAGAGGTAAAGTAAAGTTTTTGGATATTTTATTTATTTTATATGTGGAAATGTTCATATTTGGACAGGGTAAATACTTTTTCGCGATCAGGTCATTTCATATATGTTCTTTTTACCGGGTTTAAAAGATTGAGAAAATTGTCATGTATTTTGTGAAATTTTTCTAATTTATGAGAAAAAAGCAGTGTACATGGATATAGTGAAGAGTGTGCGCAATGCCATTTTGTGCAATTCTGGGATGTTTTTTTAAGTAAAAAAATAAGTCGGCGTTGTGTACATGGTTTATGTGTATGTGTTATTTTGAAAAACGCGTAAGGAGTATGGTATTGTGCACTTTTTCCCACTTTTGCAGTGAATATTTGTCTTGATTAAGCAGTTTTGTTAGATAAAATTTCTAGCATAAGTGTAATTCAGCTAGTAGATTGTTGGAAGAAGTGTTCAGTAGATAAAAAGAAAAGAAACATGTCTTTACTTCGTGAAGACAAAATGACGGCAGGAAAAAAAAATAGAGGGTTGCTGTAGGAGAGTTGGTCGCCAAATTTTTGCCAAAAAAATGCCAAGTTACCATAATGTAAAGATCAACCATATGCTCATTTTAAAAATATTTTGTGATATTGCTCTTGAACTGAATTTTATGATTTGAGCACGTAGAACATATTTAATACATGCAGGTAACACACAACACGCTACAAAAACGCCCCTTTGGATGTAATTTAAAATCTGAAACCGTATAAGGTATTTCTCCCGCCTTCTTAACGTGCCTTCGTGGTGTAGTGGTATGCATGCTGGGCGCGTATTCCCGAGGTCCGTGGTTCGGTTCCCGGCGAAGGCGTTGCTCACTTTTAATCTTTCCTGCTTTTGAAATAACCTAATGTTTCTACAACCTTTCAGATTTTTTTACACATTGAAATGAACTGTGACCGTTTGTTATATATAGTTCAGAAAAGAATATTACCAATTTGGTACTTACGTATTAACGCAACCAGGCCAAAATTCGCATAAATCGCCAAATTTGGCAACCTTACGTGTTATACGTAGTTTTGTAAAAAGAATTTATTTTTAAAAAGAAAAAATAACTCTGGGCGTGTACTACCACAGCAATGGGTTTTCGGCGGAATTTGCCGAGAAAAGAAAGAGACTTTTTTTTGGTTACTGTACCTAACAGAAGCGCCGTTACCCTCATGGAAAAAATTTGCGAAAATATCAAGGAAGGAAGCATCATTTATTCGGATTGCTGGAAAGAATACAATACAAGCGAGTTCGAAAATGCTGGATTTCTGCATGGAACTGTTAATCCCAAATATAACTTTGTGGATCCCAACACGGGCGTTCACACACAACATGTAGAGCGCATGTGGGGCTCAGCCAAATGGCGCAACAAAAAACAGAGAGGAACAGCCCGTCATCATCTTGACTCATACCTTATCGAATTTTATATGGCGCCAAGCTCAAGCTGTTAGTGGCAAAGACGGTTTTCAATCAGTGCTAAAAGCAATAGCCAAAAGATTTTCACCGAAAAAATACTTCTGCAACTTACTCAAATTCGAAACCGGAAGGGGTTTAATTGCTATTTTATATTTTAAAACAAAATAATATAAAAAACTGTATTAAAAATTATCTGTAATTAATAAATGTAGATTTTCTTTCTATTCATACTTTTTTACTCAAACTTACAAATCGCGCCAACCTGGTTGCGATAATACGTAAGTACCAAATTTTACTGACCTAGAGGAACGGCATTTTGCCAAGACTCCACTGGCAGAGAGAGATCTCTCCTAATATGTCGCTTAAGCAAATTGGAAACCAAACTACCAAAAAAATTTCTTTCTATCTTTTGTTCAGTGCTTGAAATAGCATGTTATGTTATCAGATTGAAATACGTCCATTTAAGATTTATTTAGAAAAAAATTCCGGTATCGTAGATAACAGTTATTAGAATTCTAATTCTCTCATACAAAAGCCAAGGTGGTTTTTTTTTTTTTTTTTTTTTTTTTTAACGTTTTAAGTTATTTTCAAAATTACACAAAAGTTGGGTTATCCGAGATGATTTAAACAAGTAAAACCTCAAATTTACAAAATTTTCTTAAAACTATTCTGTTCAGAAGGTACCCTACATAAAGAAATGTGTTATCGAATTTTTATGCAGAGAATACCATGATGAGTTACGTTAAAGAGATAATTTCTATTGTTTTCATAACTTCTTCCGTTTAACGGAAGACAGATACACTAATAAATTCCAGCATAATTCACAATAGCTTTCAATTGTCTGAATACTAGTTTGTCCCTGCTTCATGAAAAACGTAAGTAACTGACTCGAGAACAAGTGCAAAAAAGAGAAAAAATAATATATATACACAGGCCTTTTTCTCATCAGGGATAATTAGTCCTGTTTTCTCATAGCCAACTCAAAAATGGTCTGCAAGAAGTTTCAAGGTTCCTTCCACAACATCAGGCCAGTATCTCAGTATTGTTAAAATAATAAAGAATACTCAATAAATTAAGTTTGAAGATATCCCTGACGGAATATAGGAAATGGTGTCATGCAAGTAAATATGGTAAAGGTCGGAAAGGGAGAATCTTATTCACATTCGTTCCTAATTTTCAATATATCTTTGCGGAGCTGAGGTATATAAACAGGATGACGGATTCATCGGTGAAATTTCTGATGACTAGAAATGGGACAGTTAATGAACGAGATATGTTGACTCACATGTCAGTTTTGACAGATTCGTAACCTGATTACCATTACGGATCCTTTCCCTTGCAGAGTTTGAATACTGCAGCCATTTTTTACCAATAATCCAATCTTTGCTCGTATTAGTTTTAAAATGCTATCTTAACAATGCATTTAATGCTACAAGTACGCACTGAAAACAAAATTTTGGTCGTAAATATTTGATTAAGTTTAGAATTACATGAATGTTTCCGCGAAAAGAGTAAACAAACGTTCAATAACATTGATAAAGAGCAATTACTCAATGCACCTGAATAAACTGAACGAAAAACAATGAAATTTAAATCGAAAAAAATATTTTCTTCTTTACAAAATCGTTCGCCTCTTATTGAAAATAACGATCAAGACAACTGTAACGGAATACATATGCAAATTACTTCTTGAGTTAATTTATACATTTCAAGTTTTAAAATGTTTGTACTTTTCATTCTTCAAAATGCTCATATGCCTTCGAACAATAATATTAATAGCACCGAAAATGCCTTCTAATAAACTCAGCTTCTATATGCTTAAAATATTTTAGATGACATATTCTAATTCAATTAAACGATATTCTTAATGCAAATAACAAATTTCAGACGTCTAAACGATAATGAAAAAAAGGTGATAAGTATGACAACAGTTTTGAAATTTCCATTATTATTTAAATATAGCCATTGCGATTGGCAGAGTGGCGCAACAAACGATGTTTTCGAACAATGATAGAATTTTATAAAAAGAGGAAAATCTAACATTAATTTTTAACTCGTATTCAAATAGGAAAATTGAATTCTATTATCAAGTCGAAAACAATCTTTAAGAGAGACATAAAAAAATTGATTTCTATTTTAACCATACACATAATCGACTTTCATTATATTCAAAAGAAGCAATTTCGACTCAATATCAATAGCACGAATAGAAGTCACTAATAGTGACCCGATCTGCACACAGAGCAGTCATTAGGATCAGACTGAATAGACTCTCGAAGGTCTTCAGACATTAGAATTGCATTTTGTACTATAGAATCGTAAAGATTTTTGAAAATTACGCGACAGCAACGTTTCACACCTGATTTCTTTTGAGAAGTCAGCGATCACAAGCTTCATCTGAAATCTTATCACATACCAGTTGTCTACAAAGATTGAAAATAATTTCAGTTTTATTTTGACTGAATTGTAGGTCATTCTTTTAACTTTTTTTATTTACGAAATATTTCGAAATACTGAATTAATAGTTTCATTTATCAATGAAATAGATTGCAGAAAAAAAAATCTTGCTATTTACTTGTTGGACTTTATCTTACTTTTTGGACTATCTTATATTTTGTTTCTTTATTAGTGATTTCTACAGTCTCAGAATCTGAATTCAAATGGCCATTCTAGACAAATAATTTACTATAACTGAAAAACAAAACGTAGAAAATTAAAAACACGTAACATAAAAGATTTCTGTAATGATTTTAGGAATTATTAAATTTCATTTACATTATTTAATAAGGTGTTCGGAAAAAATAAGAAATGAAAATTATAAATATTGTTGATTTAACAAATAGTTGAAAAAATTGGTGATTTTCCTTATTCACTTTTCTTTTACACTCGTCTGCATTAGAAACAAACACACAATAACAGTGATGTTAAGAATACAACTACAGCAAGTGCAACGAAAGTCTTGGTTAAAAATATATACTGCTTAAAATTTAACGTTAAATAAAAAAGAAAAGAAATGCTTTTCTTCAAAAGTGGAATGTGTTTTTGGAAATTTGCGAATTAGATTTTACGCACTGTATACTAAAGAAGGGATGCTGTAGTAGCATGATAGCAATAAACACATTTATCAATATAAACATAAACTCTAATATCTAAACTTAAATTTTACTTTTAAAAGGTAATATTAGGGTTATAAATAATGGAATAAACATAAGAAACAGTATTATAACGAAAAATGTGCAAAGCTATGACAACAAAATTTTTAGGAAGAATTACTCTACTCTAGGCATTTGCAAACGATGTAAGACGCCATCTTAGTACTCACCTTCTTGGCCGATATGATCACGGCCAAGCACAAGATGGACAGCACGATTATTAACCTCATCTTTTGGATCTGAGTATCACCAGCAATGTACTGAACGGAATGCAAGAAAGCAGCGGAATGCGAAGAACATAAAGCGACTACGATAACTGAAACTCCCTCTGAAAGGAAGTGACGCCAGTAGCATCATGGAGAACTCGAATCGCTATTGGCTGGACACCTGTTGCATATCGCGCCATTCGTTCGATATTGTGAGCCGCCTCACTTAAGGGAAGACTGGAAGGGGTGGTTCAAATAATGCAGAATGTTGTTTCGCATGTGTAGTTGTCTTTAAAAAAATAATTCCTCATTAAATTTTATAACTTCTGTTAAAAGTACTTCTCAGGGCCATCGCCAGAGGTGGTGCGAACGCCCCGGTTGACAGTATTAGGGGCAACATGATTTTTAACCAGCTGGAAATGCATCAGGCGGGAAATGCTACGAAAAAAGACCATGACTTCATTGTACGCCTATTAAATTATGTACATTTTTATTGCTGCACTTCATTTAAACTTTTTTTTTTTTCAGATTATTCTTACTTAATTCACTGATTCCTCAAAGTAACTTGGAATTGGCATCAAAAATTGTAATTTTGAAATTAAATATCCCAGTCAATTTTTATCGTCTAGAGTAAAACTTCTTAGTTTTATTTTTTCGCAACGAGTATTAAAACTTTCCAAATATAAGTATAGTAATATAAGTATGGTATAGTAACATAATCCACTTTTCCATGCTATGAAAATTTGTTGAACTGTGGAAAGCTATAATAACATGTATTTTCCCGAGGATTGTGAAAAAAATCTGGATTAGAAATTCATTTTGTTCAAATGTGGCAGAAATTATGTCTCGTGAAGAAAAAGAACAATTGATAGAAATTTCTTGTGATCAAACACTAGCTGACGATTTCAGAAATAGCACACTTGCTAACTTTTGGCAGAACTGAAAAAAAAAAAAAAAAAAAAAAAAAAAAAAAAAATTAAGGCGTTTCAAATAATTAAAATTTTATTGCCTTTTTGCACAGCCTATTTATGTGAACAAGAATTTCCTTCTATATTGTATTTGAAAAACAAATACTGAACAAAATTAAAAGGCTCCTAATGTACGGTTAAAACTATGAATGTGAAGCGATTAAGTGACAAAAAGAAACTGATCTCTCTTAAACGGGCCCAAATTTCGCACAAAAATTTAGAATTAAACTATTATAATTTAAATTTTGATAATTAAAATAATAAGCAATTTTTCATCTAATATTCTTTTTAAGCGTGAATATTTAATACAAATAGCCAAAGGTTGAACAAAGAGTAAAATACTTTTTTTCTAATATTTCTATTGAGAAATTGAAAAATAATCATTGTAAAATGTAGTGGTGGCACCTAAATTTTTCGATTTTTGTATCGATGTTACGCATTAGTCAAAATTGTTGAGAACCACACTAGTATCAATCAAGACTGGAACCCTAAAACTAGCTTCCCTTCAAAAACCCTTAATGCTAGTTTTCTTCGTTTCCATGAGAAGAAAAAAGGGGCTTTTAGAAATTACAAGATACTTTAAAGCTCCTTAAAATCTGATATTCTAAATCAGGTGCTCATATGAATTATATGTTCACATTGTTCAAAGCTGAGATGCTAACCGCGAGAAAAACGCTTCTTTTTCTCTATGCTGCTTCCTGTTTTTGAATATTGTGAAAGGAAAACAACCAAAAAAAAAAGAATCTGAACATGCTGACCACTACGCCATGAAGGCATGCTAAGAAGGTGGGAGAAATACCTTATAAAGTCTCTAATATTCGGTGGGAACAATTTGAAAAGTGAAACGCCATTTATAATAAATAAACGCAAAATGCCAAAACGAAATTAATAACCCTTCTGGGCTAACGTTCTTTGGGCTCAACAAAAGTTTAAAATAATTTTTAAAAAAATGTGAAAGCTTTCAGATTTTATATCATGCCCAAAGGGGCGTTTTTTAACGTTTTGTGTGTTACCTTTATTTATTAAATATCGTGTTCTTTGCACTTAAAATATAAAATTCAATTCAACAGCAATATTTCAAAATAATTTTAAAATGAGCATATTCTTAAAATTTTCCGTTATACAGTCTCGCGCGCTGAAGATAATTCTTCCTTCCCCCGTACAGTTTTGTCATTGCTCACTTTGAAATTACTGAGTTTCTTAATCAAAAATTCGTTTAAGCTTTACAAAATATGACATGGATAATAAAACAAATTCCAAGTTTGAGCTTTCAGATCCCCATATTCTATAGGATTGGATTGGATTATTTAACTATGGCAAAGCACGCGACGGCTCTCTGCCTAAAGGAAGGGATGCCTTCGTGGAGGATTTTCTAAGGGGAACTGGCTCGTATACACGTTACACAATGGGAAAACCACAAAACGCCCATGCAGCCAGCCCGTTCGCGGGATTCGAACCTCGGACCGAACTACCAGTGTTCAGCGTCTTTACCGCTCGACCGCTGGTGGGCCCCATATTCTATTGGAGGACAACTTATTGAAAATTTGATGTCTCTAGGTACCGCTGTTTTCCGCAGCGGGAAAACATACATACATTCATGCAGATTCTTCGTTATTTAATTTCTTTAAATGTAATGCGAGGCTCTAATATTGGGTGGCAACAATTTGAAAAGTGAACTGACATTTACAGTGAACCAACGCAAAATGCCAAAATAGCCCTTTGGGAAAATTATTAATTGCTTCTAAATTTAAGCACTTAATTAAAAATGTACTTACTGTTTTTAATGTATCTAAAGTTTAATTGCTGGTAACAAAAACAACAACAAAAAACAAACAAAAAAAAATCCACCGTCACAGAAATAATTTGCAAAATCTTTAAATACATCTGTGGCAATAATACCATTCCAGTGCAATTCGGTTTCGGGGACCGTAAAAAATTGCAGCGAAAATGCATGCGCAAAAGCGCCAAATCTAGCAAACTCGCCTTGTTTAAACAAGACGCCAAATCTCGCGAACGCGCTGATTTCAAATTGCGTAAGTTTTAGATAGTTCTATATTTGTAAGTCGCCATTGAAATACTATTTTAATTTTTTAATTTTCTTTTTTATAAAGCTATGGATTTTACAATTTGGGAATTGCCGAGTGAAGAAAAGTCTGCAATAGAATTTTTTCAAAAAAAAAAAAAAGGCATCATTCATGATAGAAAATTATATTTGAACAATCATGAGTTGAAATTATGCTTCCTCGATAACTCGGTAGCAAAATGGCGGTGCAGGAAAGAAACCTGTAATGAGAAGAAAGGATGGAGAAGTCAAAATTGGTTTGAAGGATCGAAAATCCCCTTCCTTACAGCCGTTAGGTTCATCTACTTTTGGTGTCAGGAAATGACATCTGTTGAATTTTGTAAACTCCAGCTGAAGATGAACCGCAGTACAGTTGTAGACTGGGAACAGTTACATGAGTGAGGTGTGTACCTCAGCTTTAATTGCTCGGCCCAAGTCTAAAATTGGCGGATATGGCAAAATTATTGAAGTACACGAAAGCCTTTTCAGTACACGAAAGCCTTTTTTTTTTCCATTGTGGCGGAAGAACACGTCCAACACACACTGTTGGACGTGTTCTTCCGCCACAATGGGTTTTCGGCGGATTATGCAAAGAATCAAATGAAAGTTTCTTAGTCGCTGTTCCAGATCGATCGGCCAAAACCTTGTTGAACATCATAAAGGATAATATCGCAGAAGGAAGCGTTATTTATACTGACTGCTGGAAATCATACAAGTCATATGAACTGCAAGATGCCGGTTTTGAACACTTTACTGTCAACCACAATTACAATTTTGTGGACCCGGAAAGTGGTGTCATACACAAACAGTACAATGGCTGTGGGGCAGTGCTAAATGGCATAATAAACGCCACCGGGGCACTGCTCGACAGCATTTTGATCTTACTTGTCCGAGTTTATGTACAGACGTTTGCACAAAAAAACTAAAATTTTTTCTGCTATGTTGGAAGACATAAAAAATTTTATGCCACACGTTTAATTGCAAGTATATTTAGCCTTTTTTTCGTAAAGTAATACAAAATTGTATTATATGAAATTAACGTCTCATCTAAATAAAAATAAAAATCCGAAATAGGTATTCACTATTGTGTTTCCATTCAGGGTAAAAGTTTACAATTGGTTGCAGAAAAGAATCGCCAATAAACAATTATTGGCGATTCTTTTCTGACGCCAGGAAGGCACAATTTCAAGATGGCTGCTACACAAAACCAAAATAAGAAGTCAAAGAATTGCACAAGATCTGTGTCCATGTACACATCGATCTGTTTTTACTTAAAAAAAAAATCCTAGAATTGCACAAACTCGGCATTGCGCACTGCCTTAAATATGTCCATGTACACATCAATCTATTTTCATTTAAATAAAATCGGGAAGCTAAAACAAAGTTAAAACTATCGTGGTAACCAGAAGTAAGGTTTTATCGGCAAAATTTTAAAAAAATTGTCGCCAATCGAAGGGGCACCCAATTCTACACTAGAGCCCCATTCAGTTATTTTAGCCTTTTTTATATGAATAATAATAATAAAAATTGTATGATGTGAAATTAACTTTTTATCTAAATTAAAATAATAATCTGAAACAGTTATTTACCCTTATGCTTCCATTCAGTCATGTTTAGCCTTTTTTATATAAATTATAATAATAAAAAGTACTATATGAAAGTAACTTTTCATCTAAATTAAAACATCAATCTTAAATAGTTACCGTATATACCCGCGTATAAGTCGACCCCCCCCCCAATTCGACATAAAAAATTCGTAGAAAATAAGAAACCCGCGTATACGTCGACCCCCACTTCCGAAATCGATCGAGAAACTTCGAAAAAATTTTTTTTAAGTACTACATTTATTCAAAATCATCTGAGAAAAAAAAGTAAATATACGATAAAAAATACCTTGGTAAATAAGAAAATCAAAATCCTTCAACGTCCGATTCATAGGTCAGATTCGCCAAACATTTCATAGAACTCTTCTTGTCGTCATTGGCTCGTCATCATACATATTTTCAGTCTCGAACTCTGTGATCGTTACAATCACTACTAGAGCCTTCGTCGTCATTTTCACTTTCAAAAACAGCATCATCATCCG